ATATATATATATATATATATATATATATAACCGCGATTTCTATTTTTCAATTCTAATTTACTTAGATAAATTGATTTGTTACCATTAGGTGATATAATATAACGTTAAATATATTTTTTGCTATTAAAATATTTTAAAAAAATTATGTGTTTCTTCTAAACTAAATATAAAATAATGTAAAACAAATTTTTAAATAGTGGCACGTGGATGTTTATCATATATTTTATCATATGACAAAACAAAGTTTCACTATAAATTATAATGCAACAATAAATATTAAAAAGCATATTATACATAATTTCTATAAATTACAATATATATTGTAATTTAAGAATGAAACCAACTTGCAAAAATAATTTGAAAATAAAAAATATATCTAATACTTTTGATAAATAATACAACATTATAGTAATTATTATGTTATTTAAAAAGTGAAATTAAAGCTGATTAAACTTTCTATGCACAATGCCCCTTAGTTCCATATAACCATTTTCTCCTTATTGAAGCAAATTACTCGATCTATCTATATTTTTAATCATATAGTAATTTTTTCAATGATAAAGTATTATATTTAGGTTGAGTTACATACTTTAAAATAAAATATTATTAAAAATATTTGTACATAAGAGGATATGAAAAATATGAGTAATTTTGAAAAATCATTTCATATATATGATGCACGCATATAGCTGTGCAACAACCCGAAAAGCAAGTAAAAGATATGTCTCCTTTAAATAATATCCAAACGGTTCTGTGAATTGACCTCTAAACCATCAGCCATGGATGCACCACCTTTCATCCATTATTTCTATATCAAGTTCTACCCATACATTATCATTATTGTTCCCTCCAAGACTTTTTATGAAAAGATAACCTATGTGACACATAAAAAAACCAAGCAACTCACTCTAACCATTATCTCAACTTGACCGTAATCATTTCACGTCACATTAGAAGTGAACATGTTTTTATCATCCATCACCACCTCATTTTTTTTATTGTTTTCTATAATATATAAATTTATTTTAAGACTATAATGAAATTACATAAATCTAAAGTTAGTCGATAATCATCAAAATTTGTTATACATATCACGATTTAATATTTTTATTTTTTTTTTATTTTGTTTTCTCTTTTTTTTTTCTTCTTCTTTATCCATATTTTCCACTATTGTTATTACTAGTGTGTGCTATCATTGCTCAATTTTTCATCAATAGAACTTTCGGTTCTTCTTCCTCTTCATATTTATTTTCTTCCTTCTCCTTCTCCTTCTTTTCCTTTGTTGTCATCGCCATTACAGTCGTTGTCATCTCCGTGACTATTGCTAGTGCTCCTCCTTCTCCTCCTTTTTATCTTCTTCTCACTCATTTCTAATTAATTTATACAAATATTTTATCAAATTTAATTAAAAAATATAGTGTCCATTTTATCAATAAATTTAGTGATAAAACTATGAATTAACTTTATAAAAAATACATTTTTTTTTATGAATTTACGAACAAATTTTATAAGAAGTGAATTATCGATAAATCATCAAAAAAATCAACTACCAATTAATTTGCTAATAATATTTAAAAAACTTAGTTATTAATGGATTTACCAACAACATTGTTAAAACCAAAAACAACAATTTTAACATTCATTTTATCAACAAAATTTACTAACAAAAATATGCTTCGATAATAAACATTATAAGTTATCAATAAATATTATTGACATAACCATTATTAATGGTTATTTTCATCAATAATAAATATTATTATTTACTAAAACATTCTATCCATAGATTCATTATTGAAAAATATTTATCACTAATTAAAATTCTAAAACATTCGATAAAATATCAGTAAATTATGTTTTATTGATAAATTTTGTTTTTATTGATAAAAGTTTGTCCGTAATTTAATATTTTTTTGTGGTTATTTTTTTATAATTTTAATAATTATTTATTTTTTTTAATTTTTTTTTTGTTGTAGTGATTTTGATTATATTAATTTGTTTCTAAAGTTTTTTTTTCTATTTTATGTTTAATTGCAAAAATTGTACAAACCTAGTGGAATTAGTTATTCTTCTCATGATAATGTGGATACATGCTCACTTTTTTAGGCTTAGAGGTAAAAATGTTGCAGCCATTCGTTCAAATTTTTGTTAGGAATCCATTTTCAAACTGAGATATTTTGAATTTGTTTTACATGTTATGTTGAAATCTTCTAAATAGATTCAGAATGATACCTAATGTAAAAAAACCCTTCTAAAATACGTAATTTTTGTAGTGTCTTATGTCAATCAAAATTTGGAATTGTGGTTAGAACAAAAATAAATAAAAAATTAATTCAAAAAAAATTGTGAAACCTATGAAATAGAACCATGAATTCCTCTGATCCATTATAGCATTATAAAAAAAATATTAAATAATGTGATATATAAATAAAAAATAGTTTTAAAGCTTTAAGTCAAACTTATCACTGAACAAAATTGGAATCGGTTATAATGATCCATTATTCAAGAACCACATTTTGAACTTTTTAATTGAAATTATATTTCTTAAATTGGAGATTGATAGATGAGCAGAAAATATGAAATATGACAAGTGGACAAACATTTTCAAGAAACCACGTACCCTCATTTTGTCTGCAAACTCTAATAAAATTAATTATTGTACTAGACATTTATAGTCATTGATGCAACCACATATATATTCATGGAATAAAAGGGCAATAAAGTACTGAGAAAGATTAATTAATTGTTGAATGATAGTTTTATTCATCTTATAGGTATATGTATACTATTTTTATATTATCTTTTGTCCTTGTTTCATTTGCAATCTGTGATACAATTTATCCACCATGCATTTATAATAATGAGACACCATTAGGAAAAGGACTCGCTTCATGTTCTTGAAGACATAAAAAAATGTTTTTAAAGAGAATTATCACTCTACATAAACTTGAAGACGTGCAAAAAAAATCAACTTCGTATTTATGAAACAAGAGTTGACTCCGAATCATTTAGGACTTATGAACCTACATTCTATTCACACACACATTACATTACATTCTATTCTATTCTCACCATTCATCTTTTAAAGATATAATAGTCATATGAAAGTTTTCAAGAAATTAACGATGATATAATAGTTATAAGAAAGCTTTCAAGAAATTAACGATCATAAAAAGGAATTTCTTGTAAGTAATAATGTCTTAAAAGAATTTCAACAATAGAATAGTTAAACTATTCCAGAAAACAAACCGAAAACAGAAATGTATTTATTTTATGTTTAGGTCATAATATTTTATGACTTGGCGATTCTCTCTTTCGAATCAAATCAAATGCTAATAAAGTTGACACTCAATAATATATTCTCTAAATTAAACTTGACTATTCATAATATGTTATCTATAAGCTACTTACCGAAGTTTATTTTTTAGAAGAGTTTTATTTACTCGAAATTATGTATACCTTTCAGATATACATAATTGACTGGTTATATTATTCAGATCAAGTATTGTCTGCGAAAAAAACAAAACAAGAAAAGAAAAATCAATAAGGTAAGCAAATTCTATTACTGGTTGAAATGTCAGAGATTACGTGAAAAACTTTGTCATGGAGAGCTTTGGGAAAATGAAAGTGTATCAGAATCGTCTCCCCTCTTAAATCATCAAACGAAGGAGATGACGGTCATACAAAATTTTCTTTATCTCATGTTCAAGTCCTTCAAAATAAAATTTTACTCTATAGGTCTAAAATTGTGGTCTAATTTCCATAATAGATATATTTGGTATATTTATAATAGCTTTAAATAAATTACAAGAATTGCAACCAAAAAGCTTTAATTGTTACATTTTGTTTCTTTACAAAGTTTTGCATGCATATATCATCTTAATCTTGACTAATTAATTTATTAGTTAAGAAACATACGTTTCTTTCAAAATTTAACTTTTATTGTAATAATGTGACCACAATTTTAATATATATATATATATATATATATATATATATATATATATATATATATATGGTCCTGCTTAAATACGAAAAGTAGTGTACACATGACTTGGTTTAATAGTTGAATCAGTGGTCACGCTTTTGTACATCAGATAATATATTTGTGTGTGAAAAACAACAAAAAAGAAATAGCTGGAAAGAAAGGTTTTGCCTCTTTGTGAGTATTTTATTTGAGGGGGGAAGTAGTTCACAGCCTCCCAAAGGTCACAGAAAACAAATAAAAAGTAGGTCATGGACAACAGATGCTGTAGCTGCTAAAGTTGCATCGTCGTAAAAACACGTAACAAGTCCTGTGTTTTATTTTTAAAACACTGTAGTGGTAAAAAAATCGTAACAGTGTTCGTGATTTTATACACATATTATATCGCAACTGTTTCCAAAACCTGTAAAATAGAAATTTGATGACCATAAAAGATTTTGTAAGATTGGTTTAAAGTAAAAAGAGAGTTGAAAGTGGTAGTGTTTGAGCAAGATAACATTGAGGGAGGAAAAAGAGTAGTGTGTGTGTACGTGTGTCTACTTATTATTATTGTTTGCCCTATAGTACACAGCATTACTCGGTAGGATATGCAGAATGTATGAAACTTAAAGAGAAAGAGGGAAATGAAATTGTTACTTAGAATATACAATAGAAGAAGCTAGGTAGCATAGAATAGAGAGAATATATATTGTCTGTTCGAAAACGCAATGGCCCCCACATCCTTCACGGGATGCCTTTATGATATCGATTTCATCACGTGATAGCTCCCTGTTCACTGTGCATGCCCACCCAATCACTCGCTGGTCGGTATCAGCTCCTTGTTATCGTCACTTTGAGGTACATATCTTCTGTTCATTCTAAACTCTAATGCTCGAAATCATCATCATCATCATGCAATCAACCCAACTCCATCAGTAGTGTCCAAGGAACTGCCTTTGCAGGTTCATCACTGACCCATCTCCCACACCCATGAAATCTTTCGTTTCAGTGTTTGAACTCGAATGTACTTGCTTCTCCATTATTTCTGCTTCTCCACTTTCCCACTCTTCGATGCCAGGCATCACCATATGCTCCAAACTCTTCCTGCAACTCAAGGAAAACCCACTTTCCATGTTGCTTCTTGCCTGGGAACTCACCATGAGACTGAAGTTTTCAGCCTCGTTTCCTTGCTTGAATATCTTCTGAATTTCGACCACATTGTTGGTTGACGTGCTTGACATGTTCGGGTCTAACAGGCCAAAGTTAGAGTTGTCGAAAGGTGAATTACCACCCATCCTAATAGATTCCATGTGACTTGGGTACAAAGAGCTCACGCTATGCGACAACTCCCCTTTGTTTTCTTCTTGCTCTAGCTTCAGTCCATGAGGCACAGAAACACTGGCACTTCTAAAAGATGCTTCGGGGTATCGGTAATTTGTCCACTGTGCCTGTGACGACGATATCCCGAACATGTTGTTTGTTTCCGGCAAGGTTGTTCCAGTTGAGAATACACTTGAATTGCCTGGAACAACGCCAAGAGGATGGTTGAGTTGAAGATTTGTCTGGTCTAGCCATATCGGCAACCTTAGCTTATGTTCAACATGCTCAGCATCAGCAAAATTTTCCATGTATGATTCTGAACCTGGCCCACCAAACTCTGAATGAAACCCGTGTAGTTGTAGTCCCTGAGGCATTAGTCTCGGGCCTTGCGCGTTCATCAAAATATCGTTTCCGAGGTTTGATAAAATTGCCGGAAGTCTCCCACTTTGTTCCACCATAGCGTCACAAAAGGCTCTATGCGTTACAAAGCTGTCCTTCCTGATTTGTCAAACAACTACAATAATTAATTCCCTACACCGTTTACATCATTCCTCAACATTCTCCACTTCTCAGTTCAAAACATTAATTGCATTTAATAAACGTCCCAACATACATTAAATTCAAGAATTGGCCATATTAAAAAATTCAAGAATTATTTCATCTCATAAATAGATGAACTGATGAGATTATCATATGATAATTAAACATGCATCAAATCAAGTGGAGACATACATGAAGTAATTAATAGAATGAGGTTGATATGATGAAGCATGTGTTAACAGTGATAGTAGATACCTGGAGAATATTGTGCCACAGTCACATTTGTACTGTCTAGTCCCACAAATCTTGTTATGGGCTTTCCAGTCAGATTGAACAGCGTATTTCTTGGAGCACTTTTCGCACTTCCACTTCTTCTCACCGTGCTTTCTGCTGAAGTGTTTCTTTATCCCAGTGAGGTCTCCCAAGGCTCTGCAAGGGTCATGGTGCACGCAACTCTTCTCGGGACACACGTACACCTTCTTCCTCACCTCTTCCTTTGATCTTTGCCGCAGCTTCCACGGCAGATTGTGCCCTCGCCGATGCAGCTGCAGGTTCTGGTCTCTCTGAAAACCCTTGTTGCACACTTCGCATATGAACCGGTTCGTGGCCATCAGCGACTTTGGCGACAGAGCAATCACTTCAGCATTCGGATCTGCTATATTGGTCCATTAATTTACTAATCCAGAATTAATTAATATAATTTTTGTGAATTATATAAGAAAAAAATAACATATACAAGACAAAGACGGAGATTGATTGATTGACATAAGAGAAGGACTTGGATAATAACTTGCCTGGTGTTCCGGGTAGGCTTCTTTTTCTCTTAACCGAAGAGTTTGGATTAGGGTTAGGATTAGGGTTTGAGATTGGGTCGTGAACTTGAACCGAGGAATCTCTGAGGTTGGAAGGGACAGTTATTGCTTCACCAGACATCATGTTTGAAACCGAAGAGAATTTTGAAGTGTCCTGAACAAGCAACCTCGCAAATTCCGAAAGTACAAGCTAGCTCAAAAGTTTTGAAGCAGACAACGGTGACGCAGGCACTGCAAAACAAAGTGGCATAACAAGGAAGAAGTTAAAAGACAATAAATTTATTTAATTTCACGATTTGAGACAAGAAAAGGTACACGCATATAGATGAGAAGAAATGAAAAATGGTTGTTTGACGTACATGTGAATTGCGGTGAGAGGAGAAATGTTGGAGAATTGTGAAAGAGAAGAGAGAATAAGGAATAGTTTGGGAGTGAATATGTTAAAATTAATTGAATCTGATTTCTCTCCTTATCAACACGGCTGCTGAGGGTGTCAGTCAGCCATAGACTGAGCTGGACCACTTTCTCTGTCTCTCGCTTTCGTTCACCATATATACCAATACCCATTAGCTAGCAAAACCAGTACCTACTATCTACTCATCAAACTAACACTGTTAATCTACCAAGTCAAATTAAACCACCTTCCTTTTCTTATTTCACTATTATTACAAATTAAATCATTTCATAATAATATATGATATATATAAATGTACATGAAAACTTCATCTTATAAGATTATTACACTTAAAAGTCAACTTTTTACCAACCGTTTATTCATTTCAATCTCATATACAACTATCTATATATATTTTGTTCGTTCACGAAGCTTTGCTTCTTCACCCTGTCATTTCCTACACTGCTAATGTTATTGGAAAACCTTCTTAAATTTCACATATTTAACTACTGGCTTTTCTCTCGTTAAAATATCAATTACCTTTTTTTTTTACTAAATATACATCATAGTTAATTTACGTTAGTTAAAGTGTCATCTCAGCAGTTCGTTTAGATATTTATGTTATAGCATGCACTAATCATTTAACTTCTCCACATGGCTAAATATGGTAAAAGTTTAGATCTTTAAATAAATAAATAAATGACAGATGCTCTATGCTTGCACCCTGTGGCTAACAAATTGCTCCACGTGATAATATAATTAAACATGTATTTTATGAAGATATTTATGAGTTGGAATCTTGTTATCAAATACGGTAAATATTCTATGTTTGCACCCTGTGGCTTATAATTTCTCAGGAACACATATTCTGGGAGACAAATTTCCCAGCACAGATACTTTGGCAAAACATGGGATGTCATGTTTCTCATATTTTCTTTCGTGACTGATGACGATGCAATCATATTGTTTTATTCATTAGTTAATTGTTTTCTTGTTTCCCCGCGCGGTTCTTCCTTTTTATAAATAAAAAATAAATTATAATTTGGTGATAATTTTTTGTAAGAAAATTAATATTTATATAGAAACTATTAATTACATCTGAGTACGTGTACTACCTTTCTACATAAAATATGTATTTACTTAAGTTGAATAGAAACAAAGTTAGGTTCATTAATTTCAGATCATAGGTGACTCTTTACATGCAACCATGAAAATATTAATTCATAATTGGATTATATTATATTACATTAACGTAAACACAGATACTATTGTGTCTGTGTATATGTATTATTTAAATATATAAGAAATTCTCATTATATATATAATGTAATAAGAAATTTGAATCTGAAGAGAAAGAAGGAAGAGAGAGAAGGTGGCGTTGTGATGATGATGGTGTCCGTGAGGCTTAACCTGTTGGGAATGGGAATGGGAGCCCACAACACAAAACCATTCTCTGTGTATGTGTGTGAGAGAGAGAGAGAGTGATGTATCTGTGTCTATGGCTCAAAAGTTGAAACATGAGAATGTTAGAGGACAATGATAAATGATAAGAGTTTTCAATTTTTAATATTACAACATGAAGTAAACTTTAAAAATTATAATTATAACCACAATTTAATAGATATTTTACATATCATTATTTCCATGTAAATAATTTTAATAGATATTTTACACAGTTGCTTAATTTAGATGCGATTATGATTCTTAAATTCGATCGATTTCAATAAGCATTCACACCAACTCTCTCTTTCACCCGTGTTTGATTTAGTACAAAATAAAAACTGAAAATTAATGATTATTGAGTGATATAAATAAATAAATAAGTCCACACTGATACTTTTTAAAGTTTTTATTTTATTTTAATAAACTATACCTAAATACAACAATTTTATTGTTATTTATATAGTATAGTTAATAAACACGAAAAAATGACATAAGAATAAAAAAACCAAAACTTCATAAATATGACAAATAACTTTTAAAAGATCAAAATGAAAGTTATTTAAAAATAAAATAATTATTTTATAAATAAATTTAAAATTATCCCATTGCTTTAGTAACTTTTTGTTTATAAAGAATGTGAAGTCTATATATCTATATATATCTTACTTAAAAAATTATATACTTATTTCATAGATAAACTCTTGAGCGAGTTGCTGTCTATTGCTTCACTTTTCTCTATAAATTCGTTCATGTGGCCCACATCATCGATCTGGTCTCCAGCATAATTTCTTGTCTTCTTTCTTTATCTTCGTTTGCATGTTAGAGAGAAAAAAAAAATGTAATGTGATAAAATATTTCTAAATTATATTTTTATAAATGTAACTGTTCAAATAATTTTCAATGACACTTTTTTAATTTTATTTCTATTTTTTATCAATAAAGTAATATTGTTTTAAGATTTTTTTATATACATGACAGTCTCTGTTAATTATAATGCTTATCATGATTCCTCTCATTGAAGGTTCTTACCTCTCAGACTAATATATATCAACAAGTTCTTTATAACACAGAAAAAAAAAAGTATATATTAACACATCAATACTCCCTCCTCAGTTTATACAGGAGTGAAATTAACCAATCTTTATAATTGAAAATTTTATTAATATTGGCTATAGAAACAAGTTTTCTCAAAATGTCTTTTATCAGAATAAAATTTAAAAATAAAATATCTACCAATTAAAGATATTTATAAAAGGATTAAATGATTAAAATTTATATACATTTAGGTCTATTATTTATAAATTTAATAAAAGAGAGTCTTGATAAAAATTAGCTTAAATTTGTAACATTAAATTTGACCCATTTACATAGTATAATTCACATCCATATATATGTGAATTTAAAAGAAAAAAGTGTAGCAACACTGTCTTTTCAGATTATGCTTAGGGAGGCAAAAATAATGTAAAATGGTAAAAAAAATATAACTTTTGACAAAAAAGATTATATTCATTGTCTTGTGGTTGAAAAAGCTTGTGCTAATCTCTTTGCCAAATTCTTTATACTCTTCATGCACACGTAAAGCTTGTTTATTAGAGTAAATAATCAAATGTTTTATTTTTTGTTATTTTCAAAATAAATTTAGGAGTGTTTCAATCCATATTTTTCTAATTTTTACTTTTAACTCTTATAAGTATTGCAACTTTTTTTTTCTTTGCATCAAATATGTGAAATATTATTACCTTTTTATTTTTTAAAATTCTAACAATTTCAACAATTAAATAAATTAGAAAGGAAGATATTTTGACAAAATGTCAGTAGCTGTCAGAAATCACATACCAAAGAATATTGAGGGTTTGTCCTCTTCATAAGAATATTATATAAAGTGGCAAAGATGAAATATAGAGGATCCAATGCCATTTTAAAAAATATTCACATATTTAGGTATAATTATATGGAAATATTAGTGCAGAAAATCAAAAACCGAAATCTTGTATTAAAAGAAAAACCCTAATGACATTGGAGAGGTATCTAAGTTAAGTTTAACCTATGATACATGAACAACAGTAACACTAGATGTGCACGTGAACTTCATAAATATATTATTAACAATGGTGGCTAAACATAGTATGATCCTTATTGTCTGTCACGAGTTTCTAACAAATCCCATTTTTTCAAATCCACAGAGAATATTCACATTTATGCATTCTAAACACTGTTCAAATTAAAATATTTAATTTAATGCATAGATGTGTCACACAATAAGTTAGAAAGATGCTTTAAAAAATCCTAGTAAATTAAATATAAGAAGGTCAGTAAGAAAATTCTTATATTCACATAAATAGTTAGCTACTTTATGAAATCTGCAATCAGACAATTAGTTATTGGTTATCTTTTATATGAAAAAGTTAACAAATAAAGTACATTTTCTTAACTTTTTAGTGTTATATTATAACTATAAATTACACCTAATTTACAATTTAATATTTAATTGTATTTCAGTAATATTTTACATAGTATAATATAAAAATGTTTTTATTCTCTTAGCCATTAATATCTTAATAATTAAAAATATTAGTAAGTTATTTTCTTTATATATATATATATATATATATATATATATATATATATTGTGTCTTTTCAAACTAGACTCAGATGAATACAAGTAGTTCAAAATGTTTCCGCTAGATATATAATTAAAACAACAATTAAAATTAGAGAGTGTTCTTTGAAAATAATTTCTATAACTTATTTTTATCAAACAGAAAAAAACTAATAATTGAATCTAGTAAATTAAGAAAAAATATATTTATGTGAGTAAATCTGTCTATAAATGACAATTTTAAATAAGAAAAAGTTATTGACATTTTCTTACTCAAACATTCATTTATGATATAAGACTAAAATTTATAGAATTAACATTTATTCCTTAATTAAGTGTTATGTTGTTTGAGCAATCACTAGGATAATTAAGTAATGATACGTATTATTAGTCATGATAACTATTAAGTGGCATATCAAGAAAAAATTATAAAAAAAATATTTAAAATGAAAGGATATAATTAGTTTTTTACTCTAACATGTATCGATCATCATAACATAACTCTATTATACACAATCTTCGTTGTAGACCAAACTCAAACTAAAATTAACAAATACAAACTCCCAATTTTAAGTTATTCATGCAGAAAATGAATTGTGTTACTAACAATTTCAATCTCAAATAAATATTAAGTCTAACCAATACATTTGTTATATTCTCAACACATCTGAACTAAAAAATTTGAACACGTGAAGGTTATTACTTCCCTTTTTACCTATAAGTAGCTTGCTTTGTAATAAAAACAACTCCAATATCCACAAACTTCCAAAACTATTCTAGTAAAAATTCAAAAACTTCAACTTATATTACTAATTTCTCCAAATACATATTACTTTTAATAGTATTCCTTAGTTATTTTAAACAGTGGAGTAATAAACTCTTACACATCCAGGAAATGAAAAGGAAAAAATTATAGAGGAAAAAAGGATTTTTATTAATTTATCTTAAACTAATCATAATTGTCTTCTCACTAATATAATTTGATCGTGGAAAAGATGAGAAATCAACTAAAAATCTTAGAAATAAGGTTTAAAGAGTTCAGATTAATATATAGAAAAATGAAAATTTTAATTTAAATCAAGAATTAATTGTCTTAAACATATTTATAAACTTTTTCAAATGACTTTTTCACTATTCATTTAACTTATTAATCAAATT